TGAAAATTACTCATAAAATGTGTCCCCCATGCTACCAACACAACATGGTAAGAGAACCTGAAGTTCTCTTTAATTAGTGACCCTTGGAGTTACATTCTTTGTAAAACCCTTAGATACATTTGTTAAGCAGTGTGTAACAGCAGCAATATGTACCTAGCCTCTGTTAGAAGGAAAAAAGGTGGGGGGAGGGATTACAGGTGGATAGGTGGTGTAATTCATATGAAAGGCTAGGATGCAATCAAGGGTTGTATAGAGAAGAGAGGGGTATAGCTACCATGAGGGGACTAAGGTGGGAACTAATTGTATCTTTCAGTATCTAATGGGGAGTTATGGTGAAAACAGAGCCAGGCTCTTCTCAGAGTCAAATAGTAGAAGAACAAGAGCCAACAGTCCCAAGTTATAACAACAGAAATTCCAGCTGAACATAAAATGCTTCCTTGTGAGATTAAGACAGCACTGGAACAGCTGCCCAGAGAGGCTGGGGAATCTCTGTTCTCGGAAATGTTCAGGACTTGTCTGGACAAGGTCCAGAGCAACATGAATTAGCTCTGAAGTTAGCCCTACTCTGAGCAGGCAGTTAGACTAAAGACTTCCAGAAGTCTTTTCCATTACAAATTATTCTAAGATTCTATGACGTTCTATAGCAAAATAACTCCAGCTACTCTGTTTTGCTGTCCCCTTTGCATTTCGAATACCTTCTTTTTTCCCCCTCACCCATCCTCTCCATATATAGCAGGAGTCATTGCCTGTGGCTAAAGTAATCTACTCTTACTCAGCTGAGAAAGTAGTTCTGAGCCCCTGGCTCCACCTGAACAAGGGAACTGACAGACTGATAAGAAGTAAGTCACTCTGGTGCCTTCCTGCTCTACCACCCTCCCCACCCCTCTCTCCTGCTACTCCTACCTGCAAAAGAAAAGCATGCTCACCAATGAAAGCAGCTTTCTAAAAGCTGATTTCCCATTTCTATAACACTCATGGGGCTTTGTAATCTGAAAGTAATTATAAAACTGTGTTGTTTTGTCTATTATACCAGTGACACTGGGACATGCTTTTGTTAAGTAAATCTGTCTTTCTTAAGTGTTATTTACATTTTTTTTTTTTTTTTTTAATGGCTTGTGCTGTATTCTGATCACAGAGAACGTTACATCTACCAGTATGCACAGTACTTGGAAGTTACTGATTACACAACACAGACAGATTGTCCTCTATTACACTGAGTTCAATCCATATGAATTGGGCCACTTACAATGCCGTTGACAAGATGTTGCAATGACAGCATATATATGTATTTTTTATATAAGTAGTATGTGTGGGATGTGTTTTACAGGTAAAGGAGAGTGACTGTTAGATTATCTTCTTAAAGCAGGGATTTATTCTTCATTATATACATAGAATACCATGTATCCTTTATAAAATTACCTTCTAAGTGAAGGAAGTTTCTCTTGATTATTTACAATAAAATCTGTATGTGGTAAATTAATTAATGAATTAATATTAAATTTAAGATAAATCCTGTAAGAAATTATCTCTGAGAAGGTTCTTCAAACTAGCTCTGTACTAAAAACATGCTGTCTTGAATAATATTCTTGTCTATATTCTGGACTGTTTCAACCCCTATTAAAAGTCTAAGACAGTGTAAAAAGGCTCTAAACCTCCTAATTCTGCACATAGAAAGGTCCCCAGAACAAGCCCTGCAAAAACCAAACCAAACCAAACCAAAACTGTGAAACTTTAATAACATCTGGCAAGGGCTAGTTGGTGCTGGGAATAAGAAATGCATGTGACAATAAAGTCACACTATACTGTTCTGTAGAGAACCTTGGGAACACAGAGTGTCCCTCTTAACATTAGGGACTACCTCCCTAATCCTACAAGCACTGCAAGTGTTAATTGCACACTATGCCTTTTAAAGACATGCTCAGTATCTAGCTTTTTTGGATGCTCCTTTGTGTTTCAAGTGACAGGACAATCCCCGAGAAGATTTTTTAATACTTTTGCCTTAAAATTAGAGTCAAGGCAGAAGTGACCTGCTTTCTCTTTTCTCCAGTGCTATATTTGTTACTCATCAGGGACAGTCTTTTGTGCAAATACTGTATTTCAATTTCTTTCTCATGCTCCGTCCTTAGCTCATGATCTTCTTTTCCTGTCAGTGGGAAGGAAAAGAAAAGCTTTAGACATATGTCTGTTTCAGGCGTCAACAGTGATTTTGTCATTAGTATTTTAATGCAAAGCGTTGAATATCAGTGGCTTGCGTTCAACCCTGGAGTCCATGATAGACCTTCTTGTTCAAGCCTTGAGAATATTAGGTTCAGACTCTGTGGTAGTTACCCAGACTTGTTGGATTGTTGAGGAAAGCCTATCAGCCGATTGCACCTGGCCTGCAAGCTCTTTGCATATCTATTTCACTAATGCTGACCTAACAGATCCTATGTATGCTGAACTCATTGATGCTTTCAAAACCTTAGTGGTAGGTAACACCTATAATGGCCTTGGAAGCCTAAATTTTCTTTTTGATTACTGTGATTTGAAGATACTCAGCACTGCAGTAGGCACTCCCAGTTCTTTATGTGATGGAGAAATATGTGATACGCTTTTGATGTGAAGAAAAGCACAAGCCAGTTTCCACAGGGTGAATGTGACTGAAGTCTGGTCATCACCCCAGAACTGTGCCATGAACAATATCAGCAAGGACTTAATCTTGCAAAACTTAAGTGAATGGGCACTTGTAGTAAGAAGGCAAGGTGGCCACTGTTGAAGAGAGACCTACATTTCACTGCCATTAGGTGAAAGATGAGCAGAAAGGGCACTACACAGCAGTGCTTAAAATACCTCTCAAACTGGTTAATGAGCTGTTCTATTCAAGCTTTCTTTGCTGCTTCTTCTCCAATGTTTTCTGTCAGGCAAAAATGACACATTCTCAGTAAAGGTAGGCAGACCTTTGTGAATTCTCTTTTTTGTGTGTGTGTGATTTGTCTTTTCTTTTTTTAAACAAGGTGGGTTTGGTTTTTTTTCTTCTTTATTATTCTTTTGATATTAAAGATATTAAAGATTCATGCAGTGGGCAAGACAAGTGGATGGTTTGAAGTGCTGTCAAAGTGTTAGACAAACAAAGCAAGAGTCTTTCCTCTTTCAGTTACAGTCAGCTCAGTGATCACTGGCAAAGGAGAAGAAGAAAACATTGTCTGAGTATCTTTATATAAATGGAGGGCGCTGAGAGAAAATCTGGTAGAATTCCTTACCTTAAAGTCCTAGAATCACAGAAGTGTTAGTAGAAAGGGACTTCTAGCATTTTTCTGGTCCAAGCCATTACTGAAAGAGTAGCTGATCTAGCTATGAAATGATCCTTTGAAAATTACAGCAATATTTGACAGATAAAATCCTAGTCATTTTGTGAGGAAAATTGTTCATCCTCATTCCAAGAAAATGAAAGAAAAGTGCTTTAAAACAACAGTGATGAACTACACTGCAAACAGTATCTTTTACTACTGAATTACAGTTTAATTTCATTCTACATAGATACCATGTGATACAATCCCTAGACCATAACCTTTAGACCATAAGAAAATGGAGGCACTGTACAGTTTTTGTGAAGGGAAAAACAATAGAAATAGGTTTCTAAAAAGTGAAAAGTTGACAAAGACTGGCAAAATACATCTTCAAGTATGCTTTATTTGCAGGTGATTAAAAAGATTTTTAGGCAAAAAACTAGTCAATCTCATCCAATACATGATGAAACATGATTTAGTGCCTAATGCCAGACAGACTGGAAAATGGGTAGATAGGACCGATGACACAGTTTTTGATGAATTACATGTGATTAAATGGTCAACATTCATATAGTAAAAAGACATGAAGAGTTGTAAGCAGTTAATATTTTAACTATAAGCAGGAGATATTGTAAGAAAAGCAAGGGGTGTAAGGGGATGGGGAAGCTACAGACATCTTAGTAATATCAGAAGCCATAGACATTTTTTTAAAGACATAAGCTTGTTCCTGCAAATCACTGCACTCTTGAGAATAGTATTTGCAATTTAAAACTTATCTAAAACATCACCAAAAGGAAACACTAATTCCTATTTTTTTGAAAATTATTTTGTATTAAGAATCTTGCAAAGAACTGAAATATGGCATGGCCAAGAAACATGAATCACCCTCCATTTCAGAGACTTTGCATTCATCACATTTAAATAGTAGGTGTCTGATTTCAGAAGTTCTCATGCAAAATCCAGCTATAAAAACTCACCACAGATTATTTTCAAGGATAAAAAGCTGATGTTTTTTAAAGCTCTGACAGACATCCAGTTGTGAAGGTGAATTTTAAAACTAATGGTCCACATTTTCCAGAGGACATTCAAAAAGATTGTTGTTGAACTTTCTGTAAATGCCCAGCTCTTATCTACACTTTGCATGGAATATTTACCAAAGCTATAACTTTGGACAGTTAATGGAATATATCACTGCCTAGAGTAGTGCCAGAGGTAACATCATTATTTTTCCATAACTGCATAATGAGAATTAAATAATCACAAAACAAATTCCTATTATGAAATGACAGTTTTTTCTCATGTACAATATATATATTCATTTATATTTAATATAATTCCAGTAATACTATCACAGTAATGTGCTGTAGTGGTCTTTCATAGTGAGAAAACTGCCCTAATCATCTTTAACATGCAAAGCTTGGAAGAACCAGAAATTCACAGTAAGTAGTACAATTTGTATATGCATCTTCTGCCATCCTAAAGTCAACCAGAACACTCAAGACTGTTGCTTATTTTTCCTATATGTTTGACAAAAGCTACAGTTCTGTATACTGTACATTCACAGTGGGATCCCAGCCCCCTGTACTATCTGCAAGAAGGATCAGGTTACCACTTTCCATCAGAGTAAACATTCTAGTATTTAATATGATAATCTTGTGAACAGTTGTTCCTAGCTTGAAGTTCAGCAGTTCAGGACTTGAAATTCTCCTTTTCATCTCTCTGAAAGGTTTCTTGCTAGCGCATTTTGTAGTCATTAGATACTGACATTTCACATAGCTGTCCTTTAAAATCCAAATCTACTGTGAAATCCAGGTCACGCTGTAAAAAGATTTAAATGTAACATGTAAGTAAGACCGTAAGTTTAGTGTATTAATTCAGTTATCATTGCTTGGGTTGAAAAGACCTGCAAATTCAAAAGTACCTACTGTGGTTTCTAACTTCTTTTGTTTTTAAATGTTGCTAACACTGAAAAAGGGTGTGTAATAGCATTCACCATACAATCTATGTCTAGGGCATATTTGTGTATTCTTCTTAAGGCTGATTTACTGTCCTGGTTACAACTAGGAAACTTCTGAAATGCTGTGCTATCATATGTATTCTGTAACAATTTTTAAGGGTATTCCCCCATTGAGATGCTCTTAATCTAGGGTAAAGGGCTTTCACACTAGGCGTTATTCCAGGATAGATGTAGTAAAATTCCCATTGTAGAGAAGCCCTTAGTCATTCTTTATCTTATAATGACATGTTTTTTTCGAAAGAGGCACTACATAGCCCTACAAAATGAAGCTGTCTCTCTACAAGCTTTTGAAACGCTTCATGTTTCAGAAGAACAAAGCACTAACAAATCCTTTTGAACCAAGGTGGTCTCTCTGTCTCATGATAACTATCAAGAACACATTAATTTTAGCACCTAAATCTGCATTCAGGTGCTTACTGCTGTGCAAACAAATTTGAAATATTTTCTTCATTTTTCCCTCAACAGAAAATTGATACATTCAACCCAAAAGAAAATGTTCCAGTCTCTCAAGGACAACATAAAGGTGGGAAACAGACTATTTTCCTCTACTTTCACAGCAAGCGGTAGCTTCAGGAGTGAATGTGTTTGTTTTAATGCCAAGTTTATTTTGTGTTTATTTCTTCCCCTGTATCAACAATACTATGAAAACCATATCCAATCTGTATTTGGTACAAAAAAGGAAAAGTAATGCAAAAAAGGAAGGCAATGAAAAGTTAAGATTTGCTGCAGTCAATAAATGCAGTATTTCAACAATTACAACAACTGCATGGGCAGATTATAACCAGGTTATTTTAATGGCTGTATGTTGCAATAGAAAATGAAGAGATTCTGCTCAAGGTTTTTGGCAGAAAATGGTGCAACTGTTTCTCCCAGAAGCTGTACTTCTCATGTCTTGCTCTTCTATACAGGCATGGGTTGTCCATCAGACCATGTCTCATAGTCTCCTTATAAGTTAAAAGAAGCACTCAGCCCATAGCAGAGAAACTGAGGAAGTTTTCACCAGTCATGATAGTGTGATATCTATCATGCTTTAGCTTTAGTCTTAAATAAGACATCTGTATTTTCTGTGGAAAGGCACAATTTTTAAACCACATCACTTGATTAGTGAGTTCAAGTACATTTGATCAGTAAGTTCATACAGATGTTCAGGTGAAATCTGTTACTTAATTTCCTAGAGTTGAGTTCTTGGGCACTGATTGGGAAATCTGGCTATAGATGTGGAACTGAAGTACTTACTCTTGATCATCCTGTGTTGGTGAAAGGGATCTTAACACTAATTTCAGTGACAGTATGAAGAAACCCTTGCCTACTTGTGTCACAAAATGTGAGCCAAGCTGATTGAAGAGGGCAGCTGACTTGGTGATGTACTCGAATAATTTCTTCCTTCCCATGCTAGCTTGTTTGCAGGCTGAGTTCTGTAACATTAGCACTGCATTATCATTGCTGTCACCAGCTTTGGTGAAGCTGTGACTAGAGCTCTTACTAATAAACATGAATTTAGAGCCTTTAGCATGCTCATTGTTTTACTTATATGCATTTTATTTACTGTTGATTATAGTTTGTGATCAATAGAGTTGGAATTAGAATCAGTGATGCTCACTCACCACATTTTTTGCATTTGGTTTCATGGATATAGTCCCATAGATTTCTTCTCCTCGTCTCACAGTTAAATAGTCCTCTAAGTAGAAGACAGTTTGCTTCCAGTGAGTATAGGGAGCATCAGGTGCTAAAAAATATATAGGTGTTATTTATAGAAATTTCATCTTTGTCTTACAAATCAAATTAAGACTTGGGAACAATTGAAAAAAGCCTTTCTTCTCATAGAATGCTTTAACTTATATACTATATTAGCAAACATGCTTTACAACAACACGATTCTCTTGACTATCAGTGGGTTGTCTTCTGATTTTTACTGGACTATGTTAGATATGAATCACACCCAGCAAGAAGGATTCCACAAAGGGGGTTACTGGGCATGATAGGCACTTTTTTGATGCTTTCCTTTCAACCCACACACATTCAAATTGGGGAAATCTCTACCACTAAGTGCTTTGAAAGTCAGAAGTCTAAATTAGTTCAAAAAACAATTACACAAAACCATGAAAGAAAGGTTCACCGAAAACTATTAATCACAATGACACAGATGAAACCTTTGACTCATGATCCTGGAACAGCAGATTTTATAGTTTCCAGGAGGATACAGCTGGGGAAAGGGCACTTGCACCTTGACCTGTTTTTGGACTTTTTAAAGGCATATGCTATGGGCAATTTGCCAGAGATGGATACTGGTCTAAATTAATTTCTAGTCTTGCTTAACAGAATCACTTTGATGACCTTCTGCTATTTCAGTTTTTTATTTTACTTATTTGTTTTTATTTCTGTTTTAAATTCAACTCTTTGAGCAGTGCCTAATGGACTTGCATTGGTTACTCCTTTTTCCTAGCATTCTTGCAGTTAAGAGCAAGGAATCTAAGAATAGCTGTACAAGTTCAGAGACTTCCTGACCTGGCAAAAAAGCCCCTGATAAACTTATTTTTCTTCCATTTGTTTCCCCCGTCACTTTTTTGATGCAGACATGGGCCCACTGTATTGAATCATGCTAGTAATATCTTAACACTGTTTAATAAACAATAATCTCATTTCATTTCAGCATCAATGTTTCAAAAAAATATTTGGCTTTAGAAATTGTTTGTGACTGGGGAAATAATGAAGCTTTTTTAAAAAAACTGACAGGACAGGAATTTTTAACAGTTCTTTTTTTCCAAAATTCTAGAATCAGAAGACTGATATAAACACACGTGTCAGAAACTGTGTTGGCAAACTGATATCTTCCAAAGAAAAAGTATTTTACCAGATAATTTCTGGCTATGCATCTAGACAGTCTTATGACTGTTAATCTCAATTGCAAAATGGAGACATCTTGCAGGAGTTCAGATCCAGAATCTGTTTGTTTTCCATTTGGACATGCCCCTGTAAAATTTCTAACTGAAAACATGTTAGACCAAAACTAAACGGAACTTATATTTTAAATCATAACTGCTTTCTTATACACACACATGTACATGTGCACATGCCCTTAGGCAGAGCTATCTTCCTTAGAAAAGCCTGACATATCTGGAAACTTGTGCTCCATGAACAAGGTGTGTGTGTGGAATGTAAGCACAGGTCTTCAAGTCTACTCCAAATCACACACTTATTTTCTTCATAATTAAAAAAATGACATATCAATGAAGTGGCACTTCCTCATGTCCTACAAACTTGGATATTTTACTGAATTCAGTAGAGCTTTGCCAGCAGACACTAGCTGAGAATCCAGACCAGTCTTATAGACAGTGGTGTCTATTCCTTCAGTTACAGAAGGCCAAATGGCCTTTTCATGGAGTAACTTTTTCCGCACCTACCTTATCATGATGTGCTGAATAGAGGCAGAGAACCACTTCCCTCAACCTCCTGTTTACACTCATGCTAATACAGGTCAGGATGATTGGCCAGATTTGCTGCAAAGGCATACTTCTGACTCTTGTTTAGTTTGTTGCTCACCAGAATCCAAGAGTCTTTTCCAACAAAGCTGATTTCTATCCAGTTGGCCCAAGCAACTTGGAGTTGTTTGGCCCCAGCTGCAGGACTTAGCATTTGGCATTGCTGAACTTTATAAGGTTCTCATCAGCCCATTTTTAACCTGTGTAGGTCTCTCTAAATAGCAGCCCTTTCTCTCCAGCCTATGCTCCTCCCAGTTTGGGATCATCAACAAATTTGCTGAGAGTGCACTCTATCCCATCATCCACGTCGTTAATAAAGATGTGGAACAATATTGACCTCACTGTTGGTCACCTGTGGGATGCTACTAATAACTGGCCTCTGGTTTGACTTTGCTGACTGACACATTTTGAGCCAATTTTTCACCCATGTTATTGTTCACTTATCCAGTCTGTATCTCACCAATATAGCTGTAAGGATGCTATGCAAGATTGTATAAAAGGCCTTGCTAAAGTCAAGGTATACAACAGCCACTGATCTTCCCTCATCCACACAGCTAGTCGTCTAGAAGGCAATCAGGTTGGTCAGGTATAATTATAGAATCATAGAATAGCTTGGGTTGGAAGGGACCTCTAAAGGTCATCTAGTCCAACCCCCTCTGTCATGGGCAGGAACATCTTCAACTAGATCAGGTTGCTCAGAGCCCCGTCCAACCTGACCTTGAATGTTTCCAGGGATGGGGCATCCACCATCTCTCTGGGCAACCTGTTCCAGTTTCACCACCCTCAGTGTAAAAAATTCCTTCCTTATATCTAGTCTATATCTACCCCCCTTTAGTTTAAAGCCATTCCCCCTTGTCCTGTCACAACAGGCCCTGCTAAAAAGTTTACCGCCATCTTTTTTATAAGCTGCCATCTTTTTTATATATAATTGGCTTTGGTAAATCCATGCTAGCTGTTCTCAATCACCTTCTTGTCCTTCATATAGCTGGAAATAGTTTCCAGGTGGATTTGTGTCATAACCTTCGCAGGAACTGAGGTAAGGCTGACTGGCCTGTAGTTCCATGGATCCTGCTTACTGCACTTCTTGAAGATGGATGCGATAGCTGCCTTTTTCTAATCATCAAGAACCTTCCCCCATCACCATGACCTTTTAAAGATGTTAGAGGGTAGCCTTACAATGACATTGACCAGCACCCTCACCATGCTTGGATGCCTCCTGTCTGGTCCTATGGACTTGTTTAAGGTTCTGTAGTCCTGATGGCATACCTTGAGGCACAACTCGTGTACTATCAGTTTCATGGTATAAAAACCCTACTTCTCCAATGGCTGCAAGGCACCTCTCCCATTATTTTAGATACTTTGAATAACAATTAACCCCTCCACATAAATAGTACTTGTCTTAGTGCAATCAGAGGAGCACCACATTGGACCCAGAGGAAACCCTGGACCAAGTACTGTGCAGAGGAGACACAACTAATTGGTTCCCACAGGCTTCAGAGTGGTCCCTAGATCTGCTATAATTGGTGATATGGCTGTAGCCTCATTTGCATCAAAGAAGGCCAGAGTGAACTTTGGTTTTAGAAGAAGGCCTTGTCAAAAACACACAAACAACTTGAGCATGGACGTGAAAACCTTAAGAATTTGACTTTGCATGGATATCTGGCTAGCAGCTCTTCCTCATTTGAATGCAATGACATCCAACCTTTTTTATTTGGCCATACAGCCTGCTGGAGAAGTTAGTTACTGAAGTAAGATGTTCAGAGAATTGGCAGTAAAGTAAAGAAAAGCATTCAATAGGAGAAATGTAGCATTTGCCAAGTGACAGGAGACAAAATTTGGAGACATAGGAAGCCTCTCCAAGCAAGCTTCCAAGGAGGCTGAGCCACCAGCAGCTAAGAGATCTAGTTGCAGAAAGGCTGATGAGAAAGGGCAAGTCATCAAAGCTGAAAGGATCCTAGCATGGGAGTGTATGACTAAGCATTCAGAACCTCTGAAGTAGCAGCCTGTGGGAGCTACAGATAGTTTAGAGAAGCCAGGTTTTCAGGCACTGCTGATGAACCCTGTTCTTGATAGAGGTTCAGAAATATTGGAGATCGTGAGTCCTTTCCCCTCTTTTTTATGACAGGTAGGCACAAAATACCTTGTACTTATATTTGCAAGTTGAGGTGGGTCTGCAAAAACCTCTCTGTAAGAAAAACACTATGACAAACTTGGTATCTGCCCTAGGCTTTTGTCCAAATGTAGCCTCTTCTCCCTAATACTATTTAACCTCTCTCCTTCCTCAAGTTCTCACTTCCTATGTGCTAAGGGAAGCTAAGCCCACCTGTGGTGGTCTTGCAGAACATTTTCTGTCTAAGTGCCTGAGTGAGCCCTCTTTATTCCATACACCCAAGAGGCAAGAAGAGTCAAGAAAGTCCTTATCCCAGCCACCTTTTGCTATACTGATACTGGAGCATGTCTATGTTACCATGTCTACTCTGCAGACAAGCAACTCCTTGCAATAACTTAATGGGTCCTTTTCCTTGCCACTTTTGACGCCTGTTCACTGGGATGTCTGAGTGTCAAGAAAAGAATGGCTGGGTTTGAGGGCCAGATTTGCTGATGGGACACATTTGACTGGAAAACATTAATCATCAAATCTATTCAACGGATGTTTCTTAAAACATGTATGTTCATATGCACACATAAACCATAAACACATTCCATCATTCCTTTGAAGATGAAGCCACATTCTCAATGATATAAAAGACCTTTCACGTAGTTCTGGCAATATAAGTAGACCTCCTTTACTAGGGTAGGTTTCGGTTAACATCACAACACAGTAACCCTTCATTCAAAGCTATTTTTTACAGAAAACTGGAGGTTTGACTATATTACCTTTTAGAAAAGATTAATGGGCTGCCTTCCACTGAAAAAACAGCAGAATTTGTTTTTTTCTGTGGAAAAAACAAATGCCTAAATCCTAAAGTGTTTTCCACCTTAGATAATTTTGTTCAGCATGAACCCAGAAATATTAGCACTTCAGGATAGCACTGCAGTGTCTCATAGATTGTTCATGTCTCCTTAGCTACACTTTGTTTCTCAGCACATACTGATGCCTACTATGGTGTGGGAAATACTATAGTATAACACATTTATAGAATGACCAGGGAAACACGGTTGCTGAAAAACATAAGAATATGAGGTACCAAATAACATCATCCATATGATTATACCTCTAGAATCAAATATAAATAAGTATTTTAACAAAGTACTTTGAGCTTTGAATCTAATGTAAAGGGTTGAGAGCTCCTGTGAAGGGAGAAAAGAGATTTCTAATCATATTTAACTTACATCAGGTCCCATTTACACCTGTTTGAGTTGTGTAATGGTGCTAACTGCAGCCAGTACCAACTGTAATTTGTTTTTCTTGTCATTAAAACAGTCATGAGGTTTTTACATTTTTTGCAACACTGGCTGGTTCATTCACTCTGGTAAACGATGCCTGACAGGAATGGAGTTATTCCTTTAAATATCTGCTCACCAAGGTAGAGTTTCACATTTGGGTTGTTAGAGCTTATTTACATAAGCAGTATGTGTGTGGTTATATCTTGGAAAAAAACAATGGTTTTGTTCTAGACGCTGAGACAAACAAGAGCTTTTGTTGCGTTTCGGATTTGGGGGAAACTAGGATGCAGAGCTGCTATCTCTCACTGAGCCAACAATTCCCTGTCTAATCTGAGGAACTTGACACAGGATTTAGATATAACTGGTGATGGGCATAAACTCCTGGGTCATAATTCCTGCTGAGCTCTAAGCTTGGTAGCCATTGTGAGATCCTGCCTCTGTTTTTGCAGAATTCCTACAAGCAGTTGTCCTTTCCCCATCCTGCTCACCTACCCCAAAGTGACAATAATTTTATCGCTGAAATTCAAACCTGGTGGTACAGTAAACCTTCATCTGACCAGTAGCACTGATATACTGATAGCAATAGAAATGAAATTAAAAGAAATACAGATTACCTGTAGAAAATCCCATCTTCTTGTGGCACTTTGTAAATTCAATATTAAAATAGGTGACCAAGGCATGAATGTAATCATTACGCTGAATTTGGAGGCAAAATGCAGAAGTAAATGCCAATTCTTCAGTCTTCACTGTATAAATATCTACTTCCTGTTTTGAGGAGAAAGAAAAAGACATTTACGTGCAGATGTCTGTGACTCTAAGGTAAGTGTTAAGTGATGTACTGAAGCATTTTATTTAATGATCAGCAACAAAGACAACTGGCAGCCCTTTAACACTGTAAGAAATCAATGGTACATTTGAATATATTGAATCATCAGCAAATGATCCAGTTATCTGACTAAGTTGACAGAGTGTGATAAGAGAGACCATTCACAGAAGAGTGTGTGTCCTTGGGAATGGCAGGGAGGGGCTGCAGGAGCTGGAGGAAATCAAGGTAAAAACGTGCTTTGACAAATATAGGCACAATGGATGTTGAAATGGAGATATAAGTACCAGTTCTAAGACCTTTCATCATCAGGGACTGTCAGCATGAGGAAAGATGGCAGAGTTGGGTTTTTAATAAAAATAAACTTCTGATTTGTTTGAGCATCTCTGGAAGGGAATGTGCTTTGACTGTGTCAAGCAGTGAAAACATCTGAGGCACGACAGGGGTCTGCTTTTTGCTGATAATGCTTTCTAGTCCTGTGTCAGATAACCAATCCCAAATAGTAAGCGCAGGGATCTTACTCTTGAACTAGACAGAAGCAAATCATATAAATTGTACTATGGCTTGATTGCAGTAGTTGGGAGCAATGATGTAGTCTCCAAGATTGCTTATTTCCATCAGTACTTAAATCTCACTGTTCAAGGCTTAAACTGAGTGTTTTAGATGGATCTGATTTTCCCAGCTAGGTATTGCTTTTATCTGGGTTGTTTCCAAAACTCATAGTCATGATAGGGAGGATACTAAGTCTGAAATACTATTAATTGTATTCTAATGCTATGAGAAATGTTTCCTATCAGTGTACTTTCTGATATCCTCCTAAATGTATCTGGCTTCACTGTCCTTATTGTCCTTGTCAAGGCATATGTGGCAAGAGCCAGATACCCCCAAAATATTTTTATCTTTTATTCAGAAAGACAGTATTAACAACAAAACTGTTCATTCATACAGAGAAATAGAAGCTTTGTAGGCAGAAATCCAAATTTCCTCTACCAGCGTAAGCCAGGAATCATATCACTGACCTCACCAGCTTCACTTCAGACTCACAGTGCAGAAATGGAGAGCAGAGTCTAGAACAGAGGCTCTTAGAGGGCTCTTTTAGCAATGCATTCTATAACCTAAGAGAACTCTGCAACAATAGACATCAAAAGATGCAGCTATATTTCAGTTACTGAGGTCTTTCCATGGACCACATATCATGTGTTTCTGAGACTTAGAAAACTTATGGTGAGATGATTTAAGCAAGCCATAGTTTTGGCCTGTCTGATTAGCAATACTGTTCAAGAATAACTTAACCATAACAAAAATTATTCTACTACATTGCAATGGCACCCTGAGTCACTAGTGGTTATAAGTGACCCATGCTTATAAGTGGTCATTTAAAGCTGTGATAGCCTTAAAATGTATTTTTTTTTCTCAAGAGGAGATAAAAAGAAAAAAGCATACTAGGAATAAGAATTTCTGAAGTCTTCTGGCTGACTTCCATAGCAGCCTGCAAAATTTGCTTTGACAAGCTAGACTGGACTGGTGGGTGATAGGTGCAGATTTCTGTAATTTTTGGTGGCTTTTTAGTGGTATCACTGTGGGGCAGTTGTGAATTAAGTCCGATGATGAGGCACATGAAAGGGATTTAGCTCCCTCTCTCTAAGCTGTGTTGGCTCTGCAGGGTAAAGTGGAATCAAAAGCAGTAAGAAATATTTTTATTAGAGAAGTTAGTGGAAATGTCTCAGAAATATTGAACAGATGTGCTGGATAAAATGGTGGTCACTATTGCAGTCATTTTTTTAAGGACAGAAACATGCTTTTTTTACTATGCAAGATATGAGACAAATGTGGGGTTTTTTATTAATTAATATAGTTTTGAAACTGGCCTGATCATGTTTTGGTGATGTCTTTGAATCGTACTCTGGCTACTATATATTCCTATATTAAATGTCACTGCTCATTGAACATTAATTGCAGCTAACAGCACAGATGACAAATGCTATCTTTGCATAAAATAAGTGGAAAAGTCATGATTTACCATATTTCATTCAGATTTCAAAAACAACAACAAAATGGGCATAGTTAAGCAGTGATCTGATCAAAATACAGCTCTTAATTATACTAAAAAAATAAAATGTGTTAAGCTGAGCAACAATAAAAGTGTCAGAATTATCAGCTAAATAAAGAGGTCCAGACTGTGGCTGACTGCATGAAAGACCATGAGACATCCCATGCTACATGTCCCTGTTGCAGAGACAGTTAGAGGTCCAGTTTTTACATTCATTGCATAAAGAATGGTTCCTGGGCTGTCCTGTGGCACAAATTGCTTTAGGACTGAGCAAATGATGTAAAGAAGATCATTTAGAATCACAGGGATGATGACAGTGAGGTTGAGATGCGGTGTTGCTAGCTGTATGTATTTCTTGTTTGAATGGTATCACCCAACACCCTATCACTAGCTGAAGGCAACCTAAGTAATGAGAGAAACAACCCTGAGTCAGGTTTGCTGATGGGAAAAAATGTTGACTTGCTGCCTGACCCGTTTCCTTATGCGAATCCTAATTAAGGTTGCTTCTAGAGTGCCACTGCACCTCTTTTCTCATCCCCTTCCCAGCCAGTCAGCCTACTCAGCTAGGATTGTGTAAGCATGAAGATAAGTTAAAGATTCAAATGTCAGTGAATGTCTGGTTTTGGTGGGGGTTTTTGTTTGTTTGTTTTTGGATTTGGGGTGGCGGGTCTGGGAGCTGCAGCGGTTGCTCTGCCATGCCCAGACCCTTTGCAAGCCGGGGTGGGGGGGGGGGGTCCCCCCCCCCCCCCTCCCGTTGCACCAGCTGTCTTGGTTTGGACAAAGAGGGAAGTGGTCATCCCAACATAGGATGTGATGGTGAAGGCAGTCCTAATCAAAGCAGGTAAAGGTGCTGAACTGGTGTAGAAGTTGGAGTACAGGCAGCATTGGTACAAGCGATATTGCCAGCTTCAGGAAAGAATTGATGGCTAGAGAAGTGATTTGAAGGCTGAGAAGTAAAATTAATTGCTAGGGAAAGGAGAAAGGGCCAAACCCTATTTTCTGACAAGCACTGAGAAAATGACCTATACTGTCAGTTGCACACATGCATACAGATGTGAGGGGAGCACTGAATGCAATAGTCAGCCCCCAAAACACATGCACTTTTCCAAAAGAAAATTATTTTTCTTTTTTCTTTTTTTTTTTTTTTTTAGAGTGCAGAGAACTAACAGTATTAATGTGGGGAGAGAAGAAATATTAAATTCTGGGTGTTTCGGGGGAGCAGTGAAAGGAAGACTGAAGTATCTGAGATTGTTTTGACTAGATACTGCAGCATATGTTCATTTTCTATTAGATGAAATAACAGGGAAGCAAGTGTAGCTATGGCTTCTAGATACAGAGACCTCAGCCTCCTGCCAGGGCCCCTCTTCTGCCACCTATTCCTGTTTGCACAGAAGGAAATGCCTGAAAATTACTAGGGTGTTGTTTGGGTTTGGGGTTTTTTTGGGGGTGGGGGGAATAGGCGGAGTTAAATCTGAGGATGCTGAAAGGAAAGACTGTGGGGAGAACTGTTGGAAAGGAAAGAGAGACAGGGAAAGTCACTTAGGAAAGGGAAGGGAGATTTTCATGTGGAGAAAACAGTAGAGAAGAAAAATGAGAAAAAAAAGAGCAGTGTTTGAAGAAAGATGGAAAATGAGTGGCATAGGTGCCTCTTGCTTTACTTTAGGAGAAGCTGGGAGAAAGGAATGTGATTAGGGAGTTCACTGAAGATGCAGTGGAGCAAGAGAAAAATCTCATGAGGAATGCCTTGTCCTAAACCTCATGGGTCAAGATTACTATGGGAGAAGAATGTGGGACTCATCAGAGCTCAAGACAAGTGCCTCACCTGTGTGGCTGGATCTCTCTGAGCAACAGTACCTTTTTGCAGAAAATACTGCAGGTCCTTTGAAATAAGGCTTCATACAGGTGAATCATGATATTTCCAAACAGCGGAAATTTCTCAAAGAACTGGATATTTGAGCATATAGGTCAATGGTTTTTTTCTATTATGCTATGTTCTCTGATGAACAAGAATGTTGCATATTTTTTTTTGTTCAAGGAAGGCAGTTTGTGCTTTAAATAGCATTAAACTGTGTAATCTTAAAGTGGTGTGTGACCTGCAGGAGCTTTAAACTGTTCCTGGAAAGTGTAGGACAAATGGGAGCACAGAAGTAGATTTCTTTCTTTTTTTTTTTTGTTCTTTCTCTGTGGCTAGATAGGGGAGGATATTCAGGAAAGTCCAACAGTATTTTTTATTATAAACTGGATGTGGCATGGTCTTCATTCTTGTTTGGTTTTGTGAGTTTTTGCCACTCTCTTATTGCAGGTTTTTCTACAGCTGTGTGAAGAATTGATTTATGTTATTGTAGTCTCTGGTACTGACACCAAATCAAAATTAACATGGAGAAGAAGTTTTGGGTCAACCCAAACCCATTTGTATTTCTCTAATATGCAAGGGAATCAGAGAAAAAAACACAACTGTTTTACTGAGTTTGAAACAAACTTTTCCATTTTTTCAGGCAATGTTACTGAAAGCAGTGGGCCCTCAGAAGGACGCTTGTACACTTTTCCTGAGATCAGTTATTGACTGGTGGTTTGAAGATGCTTTGGTTCCACTACCCTCCCTGGCTGATTTGGTTTGGAATTTAAATAGAGGACTCCTACTTGCCAGGAAAATTCCTATGCCCCTGGGATATTTTTAAGAGATCATTCAAAGGGGAATTGCTTCCACAACAGAGATGCTGCTGTATTCCCTGCATGCACCACCCCCCGTGCACCTGTGGCTTAGTGGGTAGAGTTCCTTGAAGTGTTCAAGACTTGGGTTACATCCAATTCCTGAAGAGTACAAATGAGGAAATTTTACTGAAGTCTCCAGCATTCTAGATAAGTGTCATGGTTACATAGCATGCAGGGGTTGATGTCTTATTTTGCTGATTTTGTAGAACAATTCAGAGCAACTAAATTGGGAATTGAAATAACAGCAGAAGCACAGGGCTCTGACTGGTCTGTTAGGAATGCATCTAGTGACTAGTTCATCTACAGACTAACGTACAGGGAACCCAGACTCATCTGGTAGGCACCCTAAGTTAGCTGGTTTTGGGTTGAATACACCCCTAAAAAAAATCCCTTTGTGAATCTAATATGAATAAGCTTTGCCATCTTTAAATGCTGTAATAAAACATTTGAATAATTAAACATTATTGCTTTGTTTATTCTCAAATGTTTTCTTAGGCTAATATTCTCTGAATTCACAAATATTTTCAGGATCAAAGAAATGCTCTTTATATAAATAAACCACGTGCAAAAGTACATTAAATTGAAAAAAGATATGCAGCATCAGTTTTTCCTGCTTCCATATTGCTAGCCTGAACAAAAGCCTCCCTCCTTCCTGCCTTTCATTGACAATTTTCACTTTTTTTAGTGACCAGTTTGTGAGATTAGGGACAGATTCTGGAACAGAGAGTGGTTTCTGCTTGTGTAGTTATTACCTGCTTTGCTCCCAAGCTGCCATTACATGGTAAAGCACCATTCAGTGTATGGACAAAAGATGTCAGGCTGTGTAGAATTAAATATTAAACCTGAATAGGAACAGTTTGAAAAATTTTGTCTGTCTTCTTAAACCCAATTACTTTCAAAGACCTTCTAAGAAAGTGTTAGATTTCAGACTTTGAAAGACTTTGAAAGACTTCAAAGAAAGTGTTAGATTTGCACTTCATTTAAGGGCATGCAGCTTTTATAACTTTTTATTCCAGAGAAGCCAACCCATTTTGCCACCTGATCTCTCACTCTCCAGACATATTTTATGCAGTCTAAATAGCTGTTTATTTTGTGTGTATTGCAATTTTAAATTGCTCTGGCTCAGGCTGTTTTCAGATACAACCATCTTGTGTTCCCCTCAGTGCAGATAGGCTGTGCATGCATACGTACTCACACAGAGTTTCTACTTCTGTTCCTTTTTCCTGCTTTCAGTAAAGTTTCTACAGACTGAAGATACGTCTTTCCTTCTTGCATATGGGAATACTTAATGCTGTGTTTGTTACTGGCAAGAAGTGAAAGGGAAAAATCAGAACTGAGTCTTCGGGATAAATGAGCACACTCTTGGATTCATGGACCTGACCCTACCACTGCTATTGATGTGGACAGCCTTATTCATGAGAGTAGTCCTGCATGAGGAGGATTGTTTCACATGGAAGGAATTTTAGAGCTTTCATGTGTTCCTGCAGGCTATGGATTCTTAACCTGGTCTTGTGAACAGGGAGTAGTGACCATTCTGTCTTACATGTGGAACAGGGTACAAGCTAACCTCTGGCTGCAGATGTTTGCGCTGGGAGAACATAGTAACATTCTGGATAAGGCTAAGAATGAGGAAGTTATACAAGTAAATTAGGTTCCAATTCTGATCTCATGCTCTGGAGTAAATTAGAGTTATTTCATCAGAGCTGACCAATTCAGAAACTGATGCTTCAGTCTTTTTTACTGCAAATAGAGTTAATTTACCCTTTCTCCTCAGCAGCATTCCAGTAGTAATTTCCAACCTCTATTTACAAGAAGACAGGCAACTAAAATTCATATCTAAATACACCATGTCTCTATTTATCCAATATTTGCATATGTATAATTTGTAAGAGTCTTAAGTTACAGTTAGCAGTAGCCAGATGAGTACAGAGTCACAAGGAGCATCTTGCTTTTGGGTATTCCACAAGTGATCAGGGTATCAATGTTCATGCTTAGCTGAGGTGACAGTATTGGGCATGTGCAACCTACTAGTACTGACTAATTTAAAACTGCACAATTTTCCTTCTTAATGTGATAGCATTCTATGATGAATGCTTCTGCAGCTAGTTAGAAGCATACAAAGCTGGTAGTAAAACATAAGCAGCAGGTCTCCAAAGAATCCTACAGTTAGGTGTAAACATTCATAATTAGGTATATTTGGAATTACCAAACCTTTATTAAACAGGCATTGGTCACCACTTGCTTTGGATCTACTATGTCCACCAAAGGCTCCTTCATGGCAACATCCCTAATACAGGTCATGTCAAAGCCGTACACATTCTCCCACCCTGTCAATGCAAATGGATGTGTCAAAGATTAGCAGTAATAATAAAAATAATTTTTGTTTTTCAAAGCATCTTTCATTTGAAAGAATTTCTGCCATCCCCTAACTTTCAGCTCTCCTCTTTAGCTCTTTGCTCCCTGCCCCAGTTGTCTATGTCATCATTGCTATTTTACAGATAATGCAGTTGTGGCAAAATAACCCCTCAATGTACATCTTTGAACAAGTGGCCCTTGTTTTTTGGTGTCCCCAAAACTGTGTTATATGAGATTTGTCGATGATTTTCGTTGCTTTAGACATTTGAGAGTGTTGCCCAAAATCATATAATATGTCAGGTTGAGACTTGGGAATAGCTGCTAAGATTATTCTATCCTTTTCTATCCATTCTGGTTAATATTTCCTTTTTATATAGATTGCTATTCAATCAGCAGTTTGCATGCTTTTTTAATTATTTAAGTAGTCTTAGTTTCAGCAAGTGAATTACTGACAGGAGTAGAATTACAGGTGTGTTTCAATATTTGGGGCATCCAAGTTTTATTCTGCATGTACATCATGACAAAAAAGCAAGATGTCCCCTTTCTAAAAGGTTTAAAAGCCATGCTGATCTATATTTGAACCGTTCTTCTGATTGTTCTGATAAATGCTTCTTATCTTGCTGAGTTTTGTTTTCTTTTTTTTTCTTGAACAAAATGAAAACATTAAAAAATTGAAACATTGAAAAGTACACTGGCTTTGCTTTTAAGATTGTTTAACAAAATGGAAACAACACCTCCAAAAAAAGTGAAATCTTAGTCTTATGAATCATACAAGTCAAGGTCCATTCAGTGCTCCACCTGAAAGTCTAAACTGAATATGGTGAACTTTTTAAAAAATTGTTTGAACACAAGCAAGGTAAACTGATAAACAGCAATAGTGAGCATGTTTGAAATGTCTTGTTTTTTCAGAGCATAGCATTTGAGCTACTGGTGTTCCCAGAGGACTATGATTGAAAATGTAGTATGAGCAAAAAATCTGCGTATTTCTAAATTGGAACAAATCTGGCCATGAACAGTTCTTTAATTATCTCTTTATTGGGCTGTGAGTTTCTCAATATTTCAGGGGAGCTGGTGATCAAAACTTTCACTTCAGGCATCGTGAGCATGTGGGAACTTCAGATTATATTTATAGAAGCCATATGTTTTTACAAGGTTACACAGAAAAGATTAACTAGGAAACCCTGGAGGAACAATTTATTAACAGAGTTGTTGGGGCCTCCATCACTTGATGTACTTCAGCCTACATGGGATGCCTTTGAAATATATGCCACAGTCTGTATTAGACAGAGACCTGTCGCAGGAATTAAAAGATAAAATTGTATGTTTCACATTTTGCAGGAAATCAGAGTAATTGACTATAGTAGTACTCTGTGGCGTTTGAGAAATCAGAAGTCAGATTTTTTTAGAAACCTCATATTGCATTATTTCTTAATCAGTATGATGGTTCTTTAGTGCCCTTTGAAATGCTCAGCCCTGCATCTCATATGAAGGCAAGACTCTATCCACCTTAAGAGAGAAAAAAGAAAGGTGAAAAACTGAAATGTAAGGAGACACCATCAAGGATTTATAAACTGAAAAGAGAGACAAGATGGTGGTGCAGGTAGGTAGTGAGATGGAAATAAGTGAAGAAGACACAGAGGTATAAAAAGTAAGGGGGGAAGGGAAATCAGAGGTGAAATCAGAAAAGAAAGTGTCTTAAAGGAAAACATTTTAGAAGAGAAAAAGTACCCAAAACATTTTTTTTAAACAATGAAAAAATAAACGAGTTGAAAAAAGGTGTATTGTCTGTGAGAAAAGAAAAAGGCTCAAGGCCTAGAAAGGAAAGGGTTCAAAAGCAAGGTGAATGAAGGCATAAGGGATGTTTTTAGGCCAAAATGGCTTTGATTCCTTTACAGAATGGATGCCTCATACATCCTTTTGAATCTGTAAATTCTGTAAGGAATTTAGCTGTCAAGGTCATCACATAACTGAGAAGAAAAATTAGGCTGTGTTTGAGGAGTAGATATAATTCTCCCTGGCACCTACACAGACTTCTTGGCACTGCCTCACTGTACTGGGCTTGCTTTTGACCCAAAATGGCAGTTTTGACCCATTGGCAGTTCTGTGTATTGGCACTGAATTTGATTACAGAAACACCACACTTTCTTTTCTGATAGGAGCTGAGAGGCAAGGAATGAGGAGTTAGGCATTTTCATTTAAAGGTTGATTGAACCCACTAGTTTTACCCAAGCTTTTGCATGTATCCTTAATTAATAAAAATGCTTAGGAATTTTGTGATTTTTTTTTCCCCTTAATGGAAAATGCCTTTAAGTGAAATTGACCAGCTCTGAAAAATAAATAAAAGTCAAAAAAGAAAAAAAATAGAAGAGTGAAATAATGTAGAACTTACTTATTTCATCAAAACTATTATGACCAAATAAATCCAAACTTGGGTGACCTGGGGGACAACAAGTTGAACATGAACCAGGAGTATGACCTTGCGGTGATGAAAGTGAACCACATGCTAAGATATGAGAAGTGTCCAAGAAAACTGGATTTGCTTAGCCTGGGACAGCAAAGGCTAATGGTAGGATCTAATTGCTATCTGCTGCTACAGAAACAAAGAAAAAGACAGATTCCCTTCAGGTGACAAGGGACAATGAAGGCAAGTTTCAGCAAGGAAAATTCTGATTGGATATTCAGAAACATGTTTATTCCTGAGCGTGCTTCAGCATTTGAACAACTGCCCAGAGAAGCTATGGAATCCCCATCTCTTGACTCTGCAGGGCAGGTCCCTGAGTGACCTGCTTTAACTGTGAAATCTGGCCTGCTTGGAGCAGGAGGCTGGACCTGTAGAGGTCACTAACAGCACCAGTTATTCAATGAAACTTCAAGGAAAAAAAAACCCAAACATTTTAAATGTAAAGAAAAAGACAATTTTATGCATCTATGAAGTAAAACAAAAAAGTTTAGAACTTTTTTTCACATCAAAGTAAAATGAAAATTTCTGATCTTTATTTTTGATTTAAAAATTCTCATATAAAGTGTTTTAAAAAAGCATTACTTTTTTTTTTTCCTTGACAAGCTTATTAGTGAGATATTTTTTCTAGGCTTATTTCTTAACATTTAGAATTCATTTGCATCTTACTAATTTTTCTGTTCTTGTTATTTTAAAAACAAAAACCAGCATCTGGATGGCAAGAGAATATTACCAATTTTAATGGCAGTTATGTGGGATGATGTATTTATCAAAACAACAACAAAACAAATCTCCTAAAATCCACATTTTAAAATAGAGGTAGAGGTATCAGTATAACTCTAAGCAAGGTCTACATCAATTTATTCATGCATCTTTCCTTTGTGCACTTTAAATTACTGCAAGTTTCCTGAATTTATCACCAGACTAGAGTTTTCTGAGAGTTCATGTTTATATTGGAATTCTGGCCATGATCTGGTCAGCATGATTTCTTGGCTTTTGCAAAACTTTGCCAGTGAAGAGATTACAGTAAGCCACTATAAATCAAATAGTTTAGGGAAATAACCATAGAAAAGGGGGGTTACAGTTAGGCGTTTACTCACAGTGAATTTTGAAGTCCTTGTACTGTCTGTCTTCAATTGCTACCACGTACAAAGCAGCTCGGTCTGGAAACATTAGCCCTCCAGGTTTCTGTTGATGAATTGTGGGGAAATGGATCTCGTAATCTATTCACCTGACAAAGACATCACATTTTGAACTGCACATACAAAAACCAGACAAGCACCCCTTGCATGCCTTTATTGTTTTCCTTCAGATTGTCACATCAGCTTTAATCTCAGCAACTCTTGCAGCCTGTGGCAATGTCATTAGATAGTGTCTATAGGAATTTCACCAGCAGTTAATCAAAAGCAAAGCTCTTTCACTGAGATTCCCATTGTTAATCTTTTCATTAAAGCCTAAGAAATGGCACTTGGAGATGTAACTGGGTCTTGTTATGGTGACAGTAGGAAAGGGAAGGCTTGTAGTCAGAAAATAAATGACGATTGCTCCAGCAAGGAGTATGACATGCAGAGCACCTACCAGCCACTTGTCTCGTGCGAAGATGACTGTGTTTAACATTGACTCATAGAACAGACAGTAACCCATCCACTCGCTGATGATGATGTCTACTTTATCCACAGGTAATTCAACTTCTTCCACTTTACCTTTAAATATTGTGATTACTGAAAAAAGAATCCAAGAAATATGTTTCACATAATAAAACACCTGACTAAGTTCCTTACTGGTGAACGTCAGGCTGACCTTTTCAATATGATTCTCTTCTTAAATGCCTGTAGATAAGGGGTGACTCCATGTGACTCAATGGATTTTACACTATTTTAAAAATACTTGCAGTTAAGTATAATAAACAGAAGTTTTAGTATCAGTATAAAAGGAAAAAAACCCCAACAAAAACCATAACCCAAACTAAATAAAACTCATATATAAAAAACAACAGAAAAACAGGCCTTACCTGGTTACCTGCATGATCTCATTTTACATTCCCTTTGGAATTTGGAAGATTTCTAGATCATTGACCAAGTAATGCAAAGAATCCACCTAGAATCCTTTAAACATGATCTCATCGCTGAGGTATTAGAGATTTATGGAACTAGGATCTAATTCTCATCTGGTTTTCAAACATATTATGCTGGCTTCACAATAAGGAAACTAAGGCTTATTTCTTCCATGAATTCTGGGGAGCTGACTCAGCTGAGAAAGTCAGATCTAGCCTGACAGTACACAAACAAGAAAGTTTGTACACAGTTCTCTTATGAAAAATAATTTTTCATTTCTTTCTGCTTCATGATTGAATCTTTTATAACATACTGGCATTCTCACTCTGAATATTCTATCTAGTTTAGACTTGCATAACTTTCCACAGTTATCTAAAGTGACTGCTGGAAAACATTGCTGTCAGGTGTTTTGTCACCAAATTAGTTTCAAGGAAATTAAAAAGGTTGCTAGAAGTTTGGTGGAGTAGAATACCAGATCCTCAAAGACACTATTACAACACAGCACACTAAATTACTGGCAATACTGTATACTACTTACAGGGGACTGGGTATGCACTGCAAAAGCAAATCAACAAGCAATTAATAGAACTGGTTGACACTAGAACAGATATTTTGCTTAAAGGAAAATTAAATGCTGGTCCATATTTAGTTCAGTTGTAACAAATAATTTCGGTTTAGGATCACTACACCATTCACCAATCATTCTTGCATTTTTTAAAATATATTTCCTATTTACAAATGTATTCCAAATTCTTTAGACAAATAATTTTCAGCTTGTGTTTGTCTGCTATTTATATTGTTTGTTGCAGTGGGTAAACTCTCATGGTTCTGGATTCTTCCTTGACAAGGTAACTTATACACTTGAAATTCAGTAATAGAGTAGAGAATATCTTACTTTCCATTACTAATTGCTAAGATTACTGTATTACTCTTAAAAAATGGCAATTTTTAATGATGGCAATTTTTATTCATGAAAGTGGTCAACACTCAGTTTGAGGAAGATGAAGGTACTTTTATTTAGCTATAACTAGGTTAGCTATTTAAGAGTGGAAGTGTAGGTTGAGTCATTTTTAGAGCTCAGCCCAGGGAAAATGAGGTTTCATCTTTCCAAAATACATGCAGTACTTGTATTACTCTAACCAGATGTGGCCACTTTACTTTCATAGAAAACTTTTAATCCAGACTGGCCCCCTAAGAAGTTGGGAACGCTCTTGATTCAGACTGGTAACACAAAGTATCAGCTGGTAAGAGCAACCTGATTGGAAAAGAGCATAGTTCTCTTCTCCTTCACATTCTTTAAACTCCTTCCTTTCACAGTCTGCTGTAATACTGAAGACTCTTCATGTCTATAAGCTCCAGCCACGAGTTCTCTTTAGTTCTCTTTTCTCCTGAGAACTTTCACTGCCACTGACCTTTTGGAGTGAATTTTAGCACTGTTGACAGCTACCAGAGTGACACACCTGCAGACTTTGAAGCCCTCTGTTTATACCTAGAACAGTTAGGCAGCAGCAGCAGCACAAGTTCCTCCCACCTCCCTTCACTGTGATGAAACATCTTCATAAAGCACCATGTGGGAACAGATTGTGCTGTCCCCAGCTGTATTGTATCTGTTCTGGAAACAGTGGGTTTTCTCTTGGTTCAGCCCCTTTTGCTGACTCTGCATTTCTCTAAACAACTGGGGGGGGGGAGGGAAGAAAAATTTCCATGAGCAACAAGATCCTTTGGCTCAGTACCTGGTTGCATTAAAATAAAAGTGATTGTGGGTCAGTGTAAAGTGTGTAAGTGTAAATGTTAGTTCAGTTGTGTAATTTGTTTATATTGGAGACCAAACTGCAGTCAGACAGACTGCTGAACCTGTCCAGGCAAGTCTGCTGCCAAAGAGGAGGGGTCTCTGCTTCTTCCTCCACAGTTTTTCCAAGGACTTGCTCCTTGGAGAAACAGGAGGAGGAAGCAGAGATAAATACCTTCTGCAACCTCTGGAGCACACTGGATCCTTCTTATTTATTCTAACAATGGTTCCTTCACACACAATTCCTGTTGCTGGAAATCCAAACGTGAATTGATTTATGGTATGCTGTTTGTGTAATTATTTGATGAAAGGCCATTCTGGGAATATACACCAGGCTCTGCACCAAAGGTGCAGGATAACCAAGCTGAGGTCAACACCTCAGTGCCTTATCACTACTATGGAGGAGAGTATTTTCTGGTTCTTTGCTTCCTTCTTTTTCTGAACCAAAAGTTCATACACTGGCTGGCCTCTTATATTCTGCATCACTGCTGTTTCTTTCACACCACACCACTTGAATATGCATGCTGTACAATCAGTTCTCCTCCCAGACAGCTCCGTGTTAGTCAGAAGCTGCCAGTGACAGCAATAAAAATTAGAGCAGATCTAAACCAGAACAGAAATCTATTCCTGCACATGTGCTAGCATAGCACCAGTGCAGACACAGCTAAAAGCGGGGGCAAATGAAACAGTCTAGCCAGCTATGACCTGCGTGGCCCTGCAGCAAAGGCAAGCTCTTCACAAAGAGCACTTTTAAACAAGAACTGTCTCACAGCCTCAGTTAAAAAAAGCCTGATTTTTCAAGTTGTTACAAAGATATCTTGTGTGCAGTGATTTGGAGGAGGACTGAAGACATGAAAAAGAGCTTGTTGGGAGATTATTTTTTGTTAAGAGTTTTCAGTAGGTTGCGGGTATTTTTAGTATTTTTTTTTAATTGAAGTGTTTCCACATACCTGGAAATTTCAACAGTTTTCCTTTCAAGAAAAAAAAAAGTTTTTTATGATACTGTTATTCTGAGAATTGAACATTTTCATGTGTGTGAGTGTGTGTGTTTCAATATGGTTTTTAAAAAATATATTTTTTTTAAAGTTGGAAGTCAGAAGAAACTCTTAGTGAAAAATCTGTCTTGATATGGAATACTATTTGCTTTGAATCTTATTTCAATTTGAATGTAAGTGTGTGTGTGTCTCAATTCTGTTTAAGCGATAAGGTGGAATTCAAATGGCAGAATTAATTTGAAAAGTTCAGCTCTAATACAGGGTCTTCTGTCTGCTTTGCTAAATCAAACTGCCCGCTGATGAGTCCTATTTGCTTCTGTTCTTTGTGAGCCTAGAAGTAAATGTAGAAGTAACTTCTCCCATGAGGAACTGTTGTAGTGCCTAGAATGAGGTGTTTAGTTTTGTATTTACATAAGTAAATTATGCAAAAGTGCAACTACATATAAACCACACAACATAAATTAATCGGAAAAAGCGGAAGAGTTATCTTCTCTTTCTCCTGAAGAAATTATTTTTATATATGCCTTACTGTTGTCCAAGTGGTTGGCCTTGATAATTTTTTCTGAGTAGTCAGATATACTTGAGCATTCAATCTAGGAAAAAAAGAAAAACAAGAGGAAGAGTAATTATGTGTTAGAGATCTCAGCTATATGAATAAAAACAAAATCTACTGAAGGCAGCAAAGACTCTACAGAGCATGTAACCATTGATGAAGAGTAAATCAAACCTGTGCAGGCAGTATCATGATCAATGATATCTTAAGATTTACACTGCAGTCTGTGCTTGAGTTAAACTGGCTCATATAGAAAAGATTGTTTTTAAAATTATTGAAATGTGGAAAAAAAAGAGGTCCTAACTACAAAATTACATAATTTATTAATCATATTATTTAATTTATTCCTGCTACTTCAGAATATTGCCTCCTCCCCAAAAAAAATCTGCTGAAGGGAATGAATTAGCATGGTACTACATTTCCTCATGTATTTTAAAACAAAATACATTCAAACTTTGTGAATAATGTTAAAATTCAAACTATGCCAATACTGGTCTGTGTCAAGAAGCAATTGCTTTTCTCTGTGAAAAATCTATCATCTTTGGCAATGCATGTTATCAAAAAATAATACAGACATTTTACAAATAAGAAATGACTGAAATTATTGTATTTACAAAAACATCCAGATTTGCATGTCTTTTCCTATGACCAGTTCTGTGCTTTTACTAGGAAAGGAATTACCAAGTACCTTCTAGTTTTAGATTTGCTCTTAGATTTGTTGAAGTCTGAGTTCTAGCATAAAAGCCCATGTTTGCAATGACCTTTGATATCTTTTAGAGAAATACTGCATTCCATGAATCTCTCTGTTTTTTGTGCTGTTTTAAAATCATGAGGGCCAAAGTTGCTGGTAGTTACCTAATCAGTTCCTAATTTACCTCTTCCAGATTTGACATTAAACTGCCAATAATACTTTGTATAATCCTTGTCCCTCTAATTCCCCTATGGGAATGTCAAATAGAATTATATTATCTCCAGTGAGGTGTTTTATATGTCCAGTGAATTCCATTTAACCTCTAAAAGACCTCTGTGATGGCACTCACAGATGGCAGGACAGCAGATGGAAGGACACACAAATCCCTTATTCTTTTTATATAGCCCATGAAACAGCTAGACATAATAGCAGTCATAATATCAGTCCCTGTCCCCATGGGAACACAAGCATTAATTCTACTTAGCTTGCCTGGGGATGTAAACCGCTCCTTAAGATGTCTGACTCAATGGCCTGAACATAAACCAAGGCATGTCGAAAGGAACACCAGAGTGCCAGTCCAGAGAGTCCCAGGAAGAAATCCCCTGCGGAGAACTCTGTCCTTTTTCTCCATCCAGCTTCTTCTTCCCTTACTGTAAACTGTATAGACTGTATGCCTTGTCTATACTTACAGCCATTATAACATACTCAGTTTTCCTGTCTGTATTCACATCTGTCTGGCATTTTCAATTCCATTGCCCATTCTTTCTGCTTGTTTTGGATGATATTTTAAATAAAGCTTGGGTATGTGGGTGTTTGGAGGTGGCTTTCCAAACTTTCTAAAGAAAAAGGTGCAAATAAAAAGTTCTATTTCATGAATGACTACGAGTTTCCAAAAATCAACTTCATTCTCAAAGAAGCAAAGTAATAAAAAAACAACACTCAAATGTTCCAGAAAGGAAGATATATTTCAGAAAATAAACTTGCTTTAGGGTGGCTAAAGCTGTTTGTCTCTATTTTGACTTGAACTCTATACTATGGTACAATTTTATTTTAAAAAGCAAGTCATTTCAGAAAAAGAAAATACTGAATTCTGTAGGTGAAGAAATAGGAACAAAATTCAGTGTTGTCAGGTTTTTCCCCAGTTCTCTTTCAAGTCAGTGATCTGCTCAAATCTGTCCAATTTTACAAAGCATTTGGATTTTACAAAAACTGTGTGTTCCAATAAAATATGTCTGTACCTCAGTTTACAGTCATAGAATCATAGAATGGTTTGGGTTGAAAGGGACCTTCAAAGATCACCTAGTCCAACCCCCCCTGCTATGGGCAAGGACATCTTTCACTAGATCAGGTTGCTCAAAGCCCCGTCCAACCTGACCTTGAACACCTCCAGAGATGGGGCATCCACAGCTTCTCTGGGCAACCTGTTCCAGTGTCTCATCACCCTCATTGTAAAAAATTTCTTCCTTATATCCAGTCTAAATCTACCCTCTTTCAGTTTAAAACCATTGCCCCTTGTCCTATCACTGTAGGCCCTGGTAAAAAGGTCTTTCTCTACCTTTCTTATAAGCCTCCTTTATATATTGAAAGGCCGCAATAAGGTCTCCCTGGAGCCTTCTCTTCTCCAGGCTGAACAACCCCAACTTTCTCAGCCTTTCTTCATAGGAGAGGTATTCTAGCCCTCTGATCATATTTGTGGCACTCCTCTGGACCCGCTCCAACAGGTCCATGTCTTTCCTGTGCTGGGGACCCCAGAGCTGGACGCAGTACTCCAGGTGGGGTCTCACCAGAGCAGAGTAGAAGGAGAGTATCACCTTTCTCAACCTGCTGGCCATGCTTCTTTTTATGCAGCTCAGAATATGATTGGCTTTCTGACCTGTACACACACATTGCTGGCTCATATTCAATTTTCCATCCACCAGTACCCGCCTTCTCTGCAGGGCTGCTCTCAATCAATTCATCAACCAATCTGTACTGACGTTGGGGATTGCCCTGATTCAAGTGCAGGACCTTGCACTTGGCCTTGTTGAACTTCATGAGGTTCACACTGGTCCACTTCTCAAGCCTATCAAGGTCCCTCTGGATGACATCCTTTCCCTCAAGTACATCAACTGCACCACTCAGCTTGGTGTCATCTGCAAACTTGCTGAGGGTGAACTCAATCCCACTATCTATGTCATTAATGAAGATATTAATAGTAGTGGGCACAGTATGGACCCTTGAGGGACCCTTGAGTTTCTTCAGCTGTATCTAGTTTTGTGTGTGTGTATATTCATCTCTACTTTCATTTTACTTCTCAGTCTTCAATCTAATGCTGTGAATGTCTCCTCTTTTACTGGGGTCTTTTCCTGAAACAGTCATCACATTCCCAGCTTTCCTTTTCCCCTGGGCTGTGTCCTCATCACCACCTTTTTATCCAAATCAGCTAACATCTGACATGTGCCTTCATTTTATGTGTCTGTTTAACTCCTCCTTACCTACACTGTCTGGTTTGTCTGAAAATGCCATAGAATTCAGACAGTTCTACTGCAGTGATTGCCCTGAATTTTGTATGACTAAATGCAGCAGATGAACCAAGGTTTCAAGGGATAATTGAATGTATTTTTCTGTCCCTCACTCACACCTCCCAAGCACCACCAGCCACATGCTAATCCTATCTCTACACGTATTACAACAGCTCCCGAGTTAGATGAACATCATTGCACAATCTACTGTTATCCTCCCACGATGGTTAGGGGTCAGAGCACATGAAGGAAGAAGAAAAACTGAGGGGGTTGGTTCTGTTCAGCTTGTAGAAGAGATCCCCCCAATCCAATAGCTATCTTCAACTATCTAAAAAGGGCTTGCAGAGAAAACAAAGTCAAACTCTTCTCTGAAGTGCAGAGTGACAAGACAAAAGGCAGTAATCATGAGCTGCGGCAAGGGAAATTCCTGATGATTGTAGCACTGGAATAGGTGCTGAGAGAGGATTTAGAGTCTCCACCCTTGGAGATTTTCCAAATTGGACTGGACAAGGCCTTGAGCAACCTAATATAGCTTTAAACTCAAGTCTGCTTTGAGTAGGAGATTGGATTAGATACTTCCAGAGGTCTTCTAAAGTAAATCTTCCTATAAGTCAGTGATTCTATGATTTACACCTCTTGAAGACCCAGAGATGATTCTAGCAGTTGGCTGAGGTAATGGCAAGGAATAAGTTCCAACAGTGAATAAGAGGGGATAAGAAGAACCAGACAGGGGAGTGGATGAATTTGAACCTGAAGAAGGGAAAGAGTGATAGCAGGAGAGTGATTTCAGTGGAACTGTAGTCAGAAAACCAACACTCTGCATTTGTCAACAGTTCCTACATCATGCTATTTGAAAAATTGCATCTAACTGTAGAGAAGAAACTGGAACATCTCAGGTCTATGTAAACACTCATGGCAAATGTTTGCTTTTTAAAAGGAACACTCACAGTTTCCATTGGCACTCTTTGCCAATAGGACCATAAAGTCTGAATTTGACTGTAAGATCTCTGCCAGATCTCTGAAATGTCTGCTTTTCCAACACAAATACAACTCTGCAGCTTGCTGTGTGACAGGGTTCATGGTGAGGTAGATCATGTGACAAGAAGGTTGAAACTCTGCAGTTGCAGAGGAGTTTCACACCTAAATATGTTCTTCTGAGAGCTGAGGTTCCTGGATAGCACACCCCCCAGCTTCAGTACTGAACAGTCCATTGGTGAGCTGACACTGGTGTGCCCCTGAGCTTTATAAATGCCTGAGGTACAGCCTGAACTGTAAAGATGTCCAAAGCAAAAAAAACCCAACAACAACAAACCTGTGGAAAAGTATTTACTTTTCTTTTACTGGGTGAATTTTATGCCAGTGAGCTGGCTCACTGTAGAATCAGATAAGCACCAGTGCCAGCACAAGGGAGGGAGGAAGACCATATGGCCAGGGATCTGGGAGATAGGAAGGTGGGAGCACAGCATCATCATTTTGTATATGCTTATACTTTTACAACACTGAAACATCCTTGCATGAGACCTGCATTCCTCCATCAGAGAAGGCTTCAGATTTATTCTCCCTGAGGCTTTGAGGTAATAAATTGTGTACTTGGTTTACAAGAAATACATTCTAGCTGCCAATTCAGTATATTGTCTCATGCTTAAACTCCAAAACTTTGGCCAGCACCTTCTGATTTCAGCTATCTATAGTTCCATGCTTTAGTCTGATACTCAGATGAGGCACTCAGAATTAACATTAGATTTTGAAAATATAAGCCTGAGAATTGAACAGGAGTCCTTGCATTTCGTGTATCATTACAAGTAATAAAGACGCAGTTTAGATATTCAGTGACATCAGTGTCTTCAAATGCACAGATGTAGCCAACTAAGTTTTAGTAAACAATTTTGTCAAAGAAGTACACAGAGAAATAGAACCTAGTTCCCCTTTTCTATGTTGTGTTGTGTCTGCAGGGCAAACAGAAGTCCAAAGCAAAAAGAAATGGTATTTGTTATTTTAGAGTCAGTACAAATAACTGAATATACTTAAGAAGCAAACCTATGCTCTAATGACTTCTCTGCAGGGAACTGCACTTTCATGCTCCTAAAGTTCAATGTATTTAAGGTAATCATTCCCTTCTGCCTCTGAAAAGCACTATTGTTGGCACAGAAAACATGCACATGCTTTCTTGCATGATTTGCTGAGTTGTAACGTACAGGGAAAAGTGTATTCATGAAATTTGTTTCCAAGACTACAAAGTTGCAGAATTTAAGAATTTAAAAAAAGCAAGATCGTTCCTTTGACCCCTCTGAGTAGGAGTGAGTCCCTTTAACATTTTTTTGCAGCCAAGAAGAAATGTGGATATGTACCAGATCACCAAAGATTCCACACAAGAAAAGACATTATAACTCGATTTACAAAAGGCACACTACTGCAGGTCATAGAAAGCAACAGAAGTCCACTGAAGTGACTGTAAATCAAGCCATACAAGAGCTTGGAGAGAAGAATTTCAAACCAAGACAAGTAAGAAAAGGTAAATCACCAAGCCAAATTCTCAGGCAAAATGCACTAACAAACTCAAAACATGAGAGAAAGTCTTCTTACCCCATATACCTTCTTGGCTCCTGCCTTTGCAGCAAACATAGAGAGGATTCCCGTGCCACTTCCAACATCAAGGACAATCTTATCTTTAAAAACATGTTTATTGTGATACATTGAGTTTCTATAGGTTAATGTGCGCACTTCATCCTTTAACATTTCCTGTGATGAAAAAAAAAGCATTCTGTTATTATTATTTGAAGTGCTTATATGCATTCAACACTGTTGGTGAATGCATTCCTTTATTATAATTTAAGCATTATTAACACACAACCTGAAGAGTTTTTCAAGTACTTTGGGGGGCACACATCAAAGCAACTGTAAAATGCTAGCTACTTAGAATTGAATTATTAAGAAGAAGCATGATGTCCTTTGTACAATTTTATTTCTCTAAATATTACTTCAGTGTTACAATTGACAACCAGAATGTAATCTAACCACAGCACTGCTTTGGGCCTAGACAGAAGCCATACAGAAATCCAAGCTTTCCTTTTCTCCTAAATCATGCACAACTCCACTGTCTAGGACAAGAGTGAAGGCCCATGAAGATGATTAAGGATTGGAGCATCTGACATGTGAGGAGAGATTGAGAGAGCTAGGATTGTTCAGCCTGGAGAAGAGAAGGCTCAGGAGGATCCTATCAATGTGTATAAATATCTGTTGAGTGGGGGAGGAAAGAAGGCAGAGACAGACTCTTCTCAGTGGTAACCAATTAAAGAACAAGAGGCACAAATGACATGAACAGGTTTTTCAGAGCCTTGTCCAATCAGGTTTTAAATATATCCAAGGATGGAAGCTCCATAGCCAGCATTTTACCAACCTCCCAGTAAAGAATATTTTTTTCCAATTAAGTTTTTGCCCATGACATCAACCAGCTCCTTCAGCCCTGGTGGAGACAGCCTATCAGGTCCCATTTGTTTAAGTGAGCCTTCTCTGTTGAGGGTAAGTCATCCTCACTCTAGACTTTGCCACTCATCTTAGGGACCTGGGATTCCTGAAGGCAAGTCATACCAGTAGAACCAGAACTGAAGAAGTAATTTTCCATGTCCTTTGTCACCAGATACCCTGCCTCATTCAGCAACAGTCCCACCTTTTCCCCAATTTTCATTTTGCTGTTAATACACCTAGAGAAGCCCTGCTGTGTTACCCTTCCCATCCCTTGCCAGATTCATGTCTAGATGCAACTTAGCTTTCCTAAACCTGGCCCTGAAATTACTTCTGGGTCACCTGACCCTTCTTCTACCTCTTGTATGCTTCTTTTTTGTTTGAATTTTGTCAGGAGCTTCTTGTTCATTCATGCAGGCCTCCTGCCACCGCTGCTTGACTTTCTGCATGTCGGGATGGACCGTTCGTGGAGAAAGTGAGCCTTGAAAATCAACCAGTTTTCCTGGACACCTCTTCTCTGCACTATCTCCCATGAGATTTTTCCAAGCAGATCCATGAAAAGGATGAAGATTGTTCTCCTGAAACCCAGGGTTGTCAACAAGACAAATAGCATGGGTCCTGAGAGAGCATCCATGCTCTCAGGATCCTGAACTTTACCATCTCATGGTCACTGCAGCCAAACCTGTCCTGACCATCACATCCCCAGCTGGTTCATTCTTTTTAGTAAGTATCAGGACCAGCAGAGCACCACACATCCTCCTCCCCCCTGCCCATTGATTCAGGTAATCTGTGCCAGGAATTTATCATCTTGCACTCCAAAAATGTCCTGGATTGCTTATGTCCTGTTCTGTTGCTTTTCAGCAGATATTGGGGTGATTAAAGTCTCCCATGGACCAGAAAACAGACTCATGTCTCATGCAGACATAAGACTTCTTTCAGCTGTCTGAAGAAGACCTCATCTACTTCTTCTTCCTGATTAGGTGGTCTGTAGCAGACACCCACAACAATGTCAACCATGTTGGTCTGCCATTTAATCCTGATCCAAAAGCTCTCAGCTGGAACATCATCTGTCCCATAGTGGACATGATTCCATGCATTCAGCTGCTCTGTCTCCCTTCTCACCTTCCCAGGCTGTCCCTTCTAAAGAGCCTGTATCCAGCTACTGTGGCATTCCAGTCATGTGAGCAATCTCACAGCATCTCTTTGATGCCTGTGAGACTGTAGCCATGCAACTGCACACTGACCTCTAACTCCTCCTGTTCATTTCCCAGGCTGCATGTATTAGTGTACAGGCACTTCAGAGAGGCTTTCTGTCATGTTGATTTTCCAGAAAAGGTATAAGACCTTCCCTCATAATGCTGCCTCTTGGTACTTCATTTTTTGTGTGCTTACACTTGGGGTTGGCCCCTTCTGCTGTTTTATTGACTGACTATGAGGTCTTGTCCACACCATCCTGCATCTTTTGCTTACCAACTTGGTCCACCACTTCCCCGTGTGACTGTGGGTCATCATCTCTTTCCTCTATCATTCTTAGCTTAAAGGTCTCCTCATCAGGTTGGCCAGCCTGTTGGCAAAGACGCTTTTGGCCTGGTTTGTCAGGAGGATTCCATCTCTTCCTAGCAGACCTCAATCCTCAAAGAGGGTCCCGTAGACATAAAAGCTGAAAACTTGTCATTGACACCAGCTGCACAACCAGTTGTGGACCTGCAGGAGCACTTCTCCTCAAGTCCTTACTTGCACTGTTAGAATTGCAGCAAAAAACCACCTGGCACACCTTGCTGTTGATCATCATACTAAGAGCCATGCAGTCACACTTGATATGCTCCAGGTCTCATTGGTGCTCATGGGGAAGAGCAGCAGTAGTAATCCAAGACTGGTCTAAAGGCAGCCTCTCCACAATGTCCCAGATCCTAGGCAGCAGGTCAGGTCAGCAGATGGGGGCCTCTGTACCCTGCAGGAGGGAACCTTCCACTACTATCACTTGTCACTTCCTCCCAGTGCTTCTGCATGGCTCAGGGCCACCTGATTCTGATGCTTCATTGGACAGAACTTCCTGTCCCTCAACTACAATGAAGGCGCTGAACCTGTTCTGTAGCTAGAGATCTGCAGGTGGATCAGGAGCCTTCCTCCTGTTGCCAGAAGTCACAAGTTTCCAGCCTTCACCATCAGAGAAGTCTCCACTTCCAAACCTGCTAAGTACAGACTTTGACTGCCCCTCCTTTCAGTACAGTTGGGGATTTAGGCTTTTGTACCTTCAAGATATTGGAGAAGACCCAGTCAGTCTCTTCCTCAAGTCCCTGATGCTGCAAAGACTGCCAACCTCGTCTAGCAGCTCCTTTACTTGTTCACACAGATCCTCTACCAGTGCACACCTCCTGCAGGCAAGGACGCAACCTCCCACTTCCCAGCCTCAGCAAGAGGCCCCAAGTACTCCCTTGCACTCCCTGAGACCTACAGAGCTGCATCCTTCCATCAGGAGCTCAGTCTGATTTGAGGTCTCTGATGTGTCTTCAGTATTTCTCTTAGGTCTCCTTCCCACGCAATTGTTCCTTCTCCCATTCTTGGACTGAATTTCTGAATGCTACACTGGCAAGATGTAATTGGCAGATAGAAATCTTCTGTTTATGTATACACCCCACAAACAATTACTAGAGTAATGGAAATAGATAGTTTGTTATGTGGTTTGTGAAAAGTGCCACTGACTTCACATTGTTGGCCTTTTTGCATCCTAGACTTTAAGATTCCATCCTCTTGGGTTACATAAATATGAGATACTAGTGTCTTCTTTAGAATTGGTCTACAGTCAACTTTTTGATGGTAAATATGGTCCACTCTGTATTTTGAATTCTTTCCAGGAGTGTATTTACTGGAGGCTATTGGGCTATATGTTCCCATTAACGCAACCTGTGCGTTCAAGTAACATGCCAGAAGTCAAGAAATTACTTGGCTTCTCATGTCAGTTGAGTAGCTGTTCTGCTGGCATCTGTGCTCAAATATGCAAGAGAACAAAAGACCTAACTTAGCAATAAGGTAGTTTCCATGTGTGGTTGGGTTAGTTTGCAGCCCACAAATATGCACTAAATTGATGCAGTCATGAAGATCACCACTGTAAAAATAGCTAATATAAGCTCTGTGGAGAACTCATATATGTAAGGATCTAAGTGGGACAGAGGTTTTGAGTACAGGTCTCTAGAGAAGTGGGTGATATCTTTGGCACTTAACCAGATTATACAATCTTCTGAGGAAAGGTGGAGGAATATAATTATGAGCAAAGTGGGAGGGGGATAAATAACTAATAAATAAAAGAAAACATTATTATTGTTATTATTATTATTAAAAATAATTGCTGAAATAAAAATAAATATTACCTCATGAATTCCAAAGTGAGCATAGGAATCAAAGTAATAATCCCTGGATGTCATCTCTTCTGGATTGATGAGCTTTGCCATCTTGCCTCGGCCCGGGCAGCTTGGTTGCAACGGGACATGTATGACAGATTGAACTGGCTTTGGAACAACAGTAGGCTGAGGAGGCTGGGATGGGATGGGGCAAACCTAGGAGAACATGGAATATTGTTAAGAGACATTATTAAAATAAAACATTTCTCTCTATGTCTAGCATAGTGGTATTATTGTAACTAGCTAGGAGATAGTAAGACCAAAGACACCTGGGGTATCATAAGTGAAATTTAGGCTGCTGTCTGTTCCTGGCTGTTTAACTTACTTGCTCTGTCTTGGCAAATTTCCTTAATGGCTTTTTCCTTGATGTTCCTCTGCAGATACCTACATCAGTGCAAAGTAATGGCAAATTATTGGTGTTGGCTGAAGTGGGGTTTTCTCCTTTAGTGTCTTTCTGTCAAACTGCGACAGCTTTGTGAGAGGTAACTTGTAATAAAACAGTTCCCCTGCAAAGAAGAGCTCATAATCAAAGGATTTTGAACACAGTGTTACCAACAAGAAGGACAGGATTCACAATCAATTCTTAATTGTCAGGTAATATGTCTGGCTATATTGATGAGGTAGGTCTGAGAATGCTCGCAATATCTGAAAGTCCCTGACACTATCTGAAAGTCTCTCAGCATGTCCAGAAAGCACTGTAGGGAGCTGTGTCGGAAATGTGATCCCTTAATTTAGTTTCCTGTTGTTGGGAGATGCAGGAGTTATGTGTTACCAACACCCCCTGGCCCACTGCACTTCATTTTCCTTGCATATTGCATCTCCAACACCAAAATTTCAATAGAGCCAGAATGCTCACACTCCCTTGAATCAGATTTGACACCTGTAGCATCTAAGACAGAAGATAGAATGTTTCACAAACATGAGACACAGACCATGGTCTGGCCCATAAGTACATCTACATCTTTCATCCTTAACATGAAGCAAAATGCTGAAAACTGAGAAAGACTGAGCAAGATGCTACAGCTTCACATGTGCACTAAGTCACCTGCAAATTATGAGTCAACAACTTCATATATTAAGAAGGTCAATCCTACTTAAAATATGTCACCTCCTCTTGTGCTTTTTTTTTATTTTCAGATTTAGTAGTTTCCCAATGGGGACCAGATTTGCCTGAGCCTCTCCAAGACACTTTCATAAAGTTGACTCTATCTTCTATAGCTTGATACTGTGAGACATCAATCCCTTGTACTCTCTCTGAATAGCATCAATTAGCCTAGTTCAGTTTACTTCAATATAAAAAAAAAACATAAAACATTTTTCCCTTGTCCATTTGAAGATTTAAATGTGTCATCTTTTGACGGTTTCTTTGGTCCATCTGTGGAAAATGCACACTAGTGGTTTATGTTCCTGTAACACCTTTCATCCCCAAAGATCCAGAAGTGCTTTATTTATACATCTTTTCTATTTCTGATGGTTTTGACTTTATCACCTCACGCAGTTGTGCTAGTTTTGGCTGGGACAGAGTTAATTTTCTTCATAGTAGCTAGTTGGGGATATGGTTTTGGATTTGTGCTGGAAACAGTGTTGATAATACAGGGATATTTTAGTTATTGCTGAGCAGCGCTTACACAGAGTCAAGGCCTTTTCTGCTTCTCACACCACCCCACCAGCGAGTAGGCTGAGGGTGCACAAGAAGTTGGGAGGGGACACAGCTGGGACAGCTGACCCCAGCTGACCAAAGGGATATTCCATACCATATGATGTCATGCTCAGCATATAAAGTTGGGGGAAGAAGAAGGAAGAGGGGGATGTTCAGAGTGATGGCGTTTGTCTTCTCAAGTAACTGCTACACGTGATGGAGCCCTGCTTTCCTGGAGATGGCTGAACACCTGCCTCCCGATGGGAAGTAGTGAATGAATTCCTTGTTTTGCTTTGCTTGCATGCACAGCTTTTGCTTTACCTATTAAACTGTCTTTACCTCAACCCACCAGTTTTCTCATTTTTACTCTTCGGATTCTCTCCCCCATCCCACTGGGGGGAGTAAGTGAGTGGCTGTGTGGTGTTCAGTTGCCGGCTGGGGTTAAACCATGACACCAGTTCACCTCCCACCCAGAATACGATTGTTCCTAATTGGTATTTGTATTTCTGTCCTGTCTAGTTTTAAAATGTCCATCTGCAGTCATTTCTCTTAAGAAACTATTTCATTGCCTGTTCACTGCAAGCAACACCTTGACAGCTCATTCTGTCAAGGTGTTGCTTGTAATATTCAACCGTTCCAAATTTAATCCTGATACTTTTAATTACATACTTGAGGTTATATCCTAACATTTTTCCCCGTTGGTGTACACACTATCAAATTTTTGCAGTTACCTTGCCCTGTAGTCCTTTCTGTGTTTGTCTGCTGGATTAGAAAGACTTAAACTGTAGATGTTCGGAATTTTGTTTTAATTTAATACGAACTCTGTAAGGTCTTACACTTTCCTCCTAAATCTTGTCCTCCACATCATTTTACAAGCAAAATATGTAAATGTAACAGTCACTGAACTCTTCATTCTGTTCCTGTCTTAGGTAAGAAGGTCTCCAGACACAAGATGGTACATCACAGGCAATTGCTCAAAAGCTACCTACTGGAGAGAAGATCTGTCAGTTTTTGTAAATTAAACTAAAGGGGTATTAGCATTTCTATTGCTGTCAGACTACAAATTCAGATGTGGTTTGCTGTACAATAGAAAGCATTTTCTACAGGAAAAGAGACTAGTCTTGAAGGTGAATCTTCTGTCTGGGTCTCAGGCAATATTAGTTCTGCTCCTGGCTGCATGGAATTTGTCTAGACAGGGTTATGAGAACAAGGCTTATTCTGACTGAAGATACAGAATGAAACTAAATTCAGCAACTCAGGCTAGGAAAGTTGTTTGAATGATTTTGTTTGCTGTAAAGGAGTTAACATTGTAATCTCATAGTCTGCAAGACAGCTGAATTCTGCTACAGCCAAGGAGTGGCAAGATAACTTTTATTAAGCTACTGAGGCAGTATTAGACCTTTGACTCACAGTACTTTTCAGGTTTATCTAAAATACCTGAAGACCTACTGCTCTCAACTGTCCATATACATCTCTGCCAGAGAGTACGTATCCCATGTAGCAGAAGAAGTAGAAGCCTATTAGGCCTGCTTCTCAGCTGTCTTAGTTTGTAGCCAAGCAGTCCATGGTAAAATGTGTTGATGGTGGTTGTGTGATAATGTTAGGCTGTGCATACCATTAGGTCATGCACTGTCCATCCTGTGCTATGGGTATCATAGCCTCATGCAGAAGGGGTAACAGAAAACTAGATAGGGGTGGTGATCTTCTCGGCCAGCAGCACTCTGTCACAGGGACCTTAAATCAGCTGCTTCATTTCTGTTTTAGGCATATTAACACAACACAGACCTTTCAAATTAAAATGATGTATTTTTTTGCAGCATCTGCAATACCCACTGCTAGAATTTCTGTGTGTAGCACTGTAATTCTGAAACTCCAAGGCAAGGTCACAATTACAAGAATAATTTTGTGAGTGGGGCTCAGGAAATCCCTCTGCCATAGATTTGCTATAGACACTGTGAACAATTTCAGCCAAGAGTAACTTATGTCCTGTGACAACCAATACCTGGGGAAAACATATAAACACAGTGGACAATTACAAAATAAAGAAATGTAATGAAAGCTATTATTTGTATCAGAAACAATAAAGTCTTTAGGTGTACAGCTCTGTGCTTGCTAAACTAGAAACAACTAAGCTTTTAGGGATATGGTGTAACTGCTTTAGGAGAAAACATGCCTCCAAGAGAAAAGCTATCAAGGAAAGATAGCTTCCTGTATTATTTCCAGAACTGAAAAGAATCTTTGATATGATTTACAAGCTTAGCACCTATATACCCTACATGTCAGAAACAACTCGTCTTTTGAGTAACTCCTGAAAAGGGAAAGCATCTGTGCTGGGGTAAATCTCAAATCAATGAAAAGAATCTAACAAATTCTATCTGAATAAACTATGTTTATTACAAATATGGATTCCAGCCAGCTGCACGCAGTTCCAGAACACGCCACTGCTAATGCAGATGAAGTCTGAAAGAATGCAAACAGCTGCCTCAGAATCCATTCATCACTGTGCTAAACGTGTAGCCCTCTATTTTTCCATCTCCCATTTGCTACTGAAGACAGAGTTGGAGGGTCTGAAGGATCTGAGAAGCAATCTTTTTCTACCATTGCTATGGAACTTAGGTCCTGCTGCTCTGTACCATTTCAACACTTAAGTCAAAGGAAATTGGGAAATATTTTCCTACTTTTAAAAATTAAATAAAGTTTCTTTCCTCTTTCTTTGTGGACAAGGTTGGTAGATTACAGATGCATCAAAGGTATTAGCACAGGACCTTTTTTTAAAAGCTTTGAATTCTTACAAAAGGCAAGATTCATAACTCTCATTCATTTCTCAAAATCACACATCTGAACATTTTGACATAGGTTTCTAAAACACATATAGGCACTTCAGTGATGGATGTGACTTTCAGATATGTGGAGTTGCCCACATGCATCAATGGAAACTGTTGAAATTCTTCTTTCTTGAAAACTGGACCTAAGTCAACATGGACTTACAAGGCTATCTGGATGTACAATTCCCATAATACAAAAGAGAACTTGGTATTCAAAACTCACAGGCTATTTTGAAAATTTAAGCCTTTTAGATGTATCCATCTGCCTACAGAGAGGCAAGATGGTGAAATATGCACAACTCATTTTTTAGGAGGTTTATGACAAAAGCTGAGGTGTGTAGAGTAAAAATAAACTTGAATTTCAATGTTCATTTCTTGATATTACTATGGAGACACAGGGCTGGAGGTTGAAATTCCAATCCTTGTAAAACTGTTGTTCAAGCTGCAGTGTTTTCTCCTTGACAAATTCTTAGTTATTTATGACATTTTTATGGCATTGAAGAGGTTAACAGTATCTTCTGTCTGGAAATGCCTACCCTTTCATTAAGAAACTACACTTATTAAGAATGGAATTATAGTTTAATATGATTCAATTTCAGCATTCTCTTATTTTTAAACAAATGGTTTTATCGTATCTAAATATTGATTATACTTATTTCTTGGGCCAAATAGCTTTCTGTGTCAGAACTACT